GGTAAGTTAACAAAGCATGACATGGAATCCTCCAGTGACCAGGCATTTGACATTCACTGCAGGACAGTTCTCCCTGGGGTCTTCTATGAAAGATAAGACATGACTGGCCGGGAGCAGTGGCTCACGCCTATAATCCCAGCACTTTGGGAGGCTGAGGTGGGCAGAGCAGCTGAGGTCAGGAGTTCGAGACCAGCCTGACCAATATGGTGAAAACCCGTCTTTAAAAAAATAAAAATTAAATAAATAAAGGCATGACTGACTGTGCCTTCCTCTGATGTAACATAAACTATTTTTATTATATTATATTTTATCATCACAAAATTTATTTTAAGCTGGGCAGAGTGGCTCACGCCTGTAATCCCAGCACTTTGGGAGGCCGAGGTGGGCAGATTGCCTGAGTTTAGGAATTCAAGACCAGCCTGGGCAACATGGCAAGAGGCCGTGTCTCTACAAAAAGTACAAAAATCGGCCAAGCGTGGTGGTGTACACCTGCAATCCCAGTTATCTGGGTGGCTGAGGCATGAGAATTGCTTGAACCTGGGAGGCGGAGGATGCAGCTAGCCAAGATTGTGCCACTATACCTCCAGCCTGCGAGATCATTTCTCCAAGAGTTTTTAAATATAAAATCTCTCAGAGTTGGTTATTTTACTTTTGCATATTTTTGTCTATTTTCAATAAAGCATTCATTTCCTAAATAGCACATTTACATAAAATTTTTCATCTCTAGTGCTTTAACAAGGCTTATCACATGGAGAAAGCTCAAAAACATTGTTGAATGCAGGGACAAAATAGTAAAATGGAAATTTTGAAAGAAAACGTTGTTGTTTACAGCATCTTAGCTAGCTGGGTGCAGTGGCTCCCAGCACTTTGGTAGGCTAACGTAGGAGGATTGCTTGATGCCTGGAGCTCAAGACCAGCATAGGCAGCATAGTGAGACCTGATCTCTATAAATACAAAAACTTTTAAAATTAGCCAGGCATGGTAGTGTGTACCCATTATCCCAGCTACTTGGGAGGCTGAGGTGGAAGGATCGCATGAGCCCAGGAGTTGGGGGCTGCCGTGAGCCATGAATGCACCACTGCACTCCAGCCTGGGAAACCAAGCAAGACTGTCTCAGAAAAACAAAACATCTCAGCTATAGACAGAAGGCTTTATCTATTTCCTAGCGATGCTCACAGTTTGGCGAACCAAATAATACCCAGCAGAGAATTACACTGTACCAAGTAGCTGTCTTTCTTTAAAAAATAATGTTGACTGATTTTTTTTTTTTTTTTTTTTTTTTTTTTTTTTTTTTTTTCCAGATTTAAAATATCGTGTCCTTTATAGAAAAACATGACTGTGAAAGTAAGGAAGGAGCGAGGAGAGGCGGGGTGCAGAGGAAGAAAGGAAGGAAATGAGAAAGGGGAGATCCAGCCAAGCTTCTTTATTGTAATAGAGCTTTTACTGCAACATAATTTGAGGCAGCATTCTTTAATAGCTAAATCATAAATTAAAACAACACTAATTTCTGATGTTGGCAAGGCTGGCTTAAGCTGACACATATATTTTCAGCGGCAGTTTGTGTCTCTGCATCGTTAGAGCTCCTGCCAAGAGTAGCCTTTTGAAATTAAGAGCAATTTTAAGAGTGTCTTTGGCCTGACCAGAGATAAAATGTTACATACCCGGACAGCAGTATTTCATCTGTTCCCACCTGCCCACCCCTGCAGAGTAATACCAAAAGCTAAACTTGCCAAAAGACAACTGTAAAACTCTAAAACATCTCTGATATGACACAGAGAGCGTTCAGTTTCAAAACCATAAACTGAAAAGAGCAGACAGTTCCCATCACTTCTCTCGTCTTGCGGACTGTTAGTTGCCCAAAAGAGCCATTACTTCCAAATCATAATTTCCAGCCTGGTCTTATCCCTGAAACTTCGAGCTTGTAAAACGTACGACCTATTTAATCTTCTACTTGGATATTTAAAAGCTATCTCAAATTTAGCATGGCCACCAGGGAGCTCAAAATTTCTCCCCAAATGTGCCCCCTTTTCCCCTGCTGGTTTTCTGTTCCTCAGCAAACAGTTCTACCATCCGTGCAGCGGCCTGAGCCAAAAACTCAGGTGGTGTTGCTTCTCTTTTCTTTCAGCCTGTACCTCGGATCAGGCAAAAAGTTTGATTGGTTCTGCTTCCAAAAGGAATCCTGAATGTACCCACTGCTCTCCGACCCTGCTCCCACTGACTTTCCCCAAACCATCTCTTGCTTGGACTAACCACTCAGTTCACGGCTGTTCTGTCTAGTCCACTGCCCTCTATAACCAAGCCAAGCAGCAGCAGTGGGGTGCTCTTTCACAACCACAGATCAGACTGCATCTCTCCCCAGCTTCCTGCCCTTTCCTGGTGCACCCGTATGTAAAAAGCTGTCCATCAAACTTAGTTTAAAATCCAATCCTCTTATCTTTATTTGAAAGGCGTCATACAAGCTGCCCCAGCCCAGAGTTGTGATTCACCCTGTACTACTGCCAACCTCAGCCCCTCCGCTAGGACAGCACAGGACCCCTGTGCACGAGCGCTCTTACCCCGGGCTTCTGCTGACGGGGCTGCTTCTTACCATCTATGTATCCGTTTTCAAAATGGCATCTCAGGCTGGGCCTGGTGGCACTAATCCCTGCAGTCCCCGCACTTAGGGAGGCCGAGGTGGGTGAAGCACTTGAGGTCAGGAGTTTAAGACCAGCCTGGCCAACACGGTGAAACCCCGTCTCTACTAAAAAACACAAAAATTAGCCGGGTGCAGTGGCGGATCCCTACGGTCCCAGCTACTTGGGAGGTTGAGGGCGGAGAATCGCTTGAACCCGGGAGGCAGAGACGGCAATGAGCAGAAATCGCGCCACTGCACTACAGCCTGGGCAACAGAGCAAGACTCCACCTCAAAAAACAAAAAATAAAACAAAACGTCATCATACAAATGCTCCTTAAAACAGTCAACCACCATATGTAGTAAAACAATAGATGCATTTGCCCTCTGACCCAGCAATACATTCACAGGAACGTGTCACAAAGAAACACCTGGAGAAATATGAGAGGCAGGCAGACATCATGTGACTCCTGACTGCAGTATCCAAGACCACCACCGAGATACTCCTGAACGACAAGCAAACCCACACACACGTGCACCCCCGAATTTAATTAGTCTTGTCTTGATCTAACTATGGGCGCCAATCCACAGGAAATACAGGAAGCAGAGGAACATGCAATCAACAAAACCTAAAATATAAATACAGGGAATCAGCCAAGATGCATAATCCATTTTCTACAGCAAAAACGATTTATAAGAGGAAAAAAACACGTGGAAGAGGAAATGAAAATTTTTCGGTATGAGCCCAGCACTCTCAATAACTGTTTAAGAAGAATACACATCAGCTGGGGCCGGGCCTGGTGGCTCACAATTGTAATCCGAAGACTTTAGGAGGCCGAGGCGGGCAGATGATGAGGTCAAGAGATTGAGGCCGGGCGCGGTGGCTCACGCCTGTAATCCCAGCACTTTGGGAGGCCAAGGCGGGTGGATCACGAGGTCAAGAGATCGAGACCATCCTGGTCAACATGGTGAAACCCCGTCTCTACTAAAAAAAAAATACAAAAAATCAGCTGGGCATGGTGGCGGGTGCCTGTAATCCCAGCTACTTGGGAGGCTGAAGCAGGAGAATTGCCTGAACCCAGGAGGCGGAGGTTGCGGTGAGCCGAGATCGCGCCATTGCACTCCAGCCCAGGTAACAAGAGCGAAACTCCGTCTCAAAAAAAAAAAAAAAAAGAGAGAATGAGACCATCATGGCCATTGTGAAACCCTATCTCTACTAAAACTACAAAAATTAGCTGGACGTGGTGGCGCATGCCTGGAATCCCAGCTACTCCGGAGGCTGAGGCAGGAGAATTGCTTGAACCCAGGAGGCGGAGGTTGCAGTGAGCCGAGACTACGCCACTGCACTCCAGCCTGGTGACACAGTGAGATTCCGTCCTGCCCTCAAAAAAAAGAATACACATCAACTGGGCACAGTAGCTCACATCTATAATCCCAGCACTTTGAGAAGCTGAGGCAAGAGGGTCACTTGAGGCCAGGAGTTTGAGAGCAGCCTGGGTAATGCAGTGAGGCTTTCTCTCTACAAAAAATACCCAGGCATAGTCGCGTATACCTCCAGTCCCAGCTATCTGGGAGGCTGAGGCAGGAGGACTGCTGAAGCCCAGGAGTTAGAGGCTGCAGTGAGCTATGATCATACCATTGCACTCTAGCCTGGTGATAGAGCGAGTCCCTATCTCAAAATTAAATTAAACTAAATTTAAAAATAAAGCAAATTTAGAGTACGTATCTTTTAGGAATATATGCCGAAACATTTATGAAAACAAAACAATTAAATGATATAATGAAACAAAACAATTAAATGGTGTAATTTTGGTGGTTTGCTTTAAATTTTGTTTCATTTAAGAAACAATTAAATGAAACAAAACAATTAAATGATATAATTTTGGTGGTTCGCTTTAAAATAATCTGGGCTAAGAGCATAGAAAATGGGTAAAGGTGTAATTGAAACAACTCTGGGTCATGAGTTGCTCGGTTTTGAAGGTGAGTGATGGGTGTGTCGGGGTTCATTAGACCAATCTCTTACTTCTGTATATGTCTGAAATTAAGGTTTATGTAAAAGCCACCCAATTACTCACCACCACACTATTCTATTTCTCAGCATATTCATGTCACTCCCTGGCTTTTAATTACTCATTTGTGTCGACTGTCTGTCCTCCCACTGAAACACTAGCTTTATAAGAGCGAGAGCTTAGTCTTCTTGACAGCTGTCATCCCCAAGGCCCAGAACAACACCAGGTTCCTGATGAACACTGGTCGCTATGTGAATACATCAATACAATTCCAGGGGCCTCCTTCAGAGCTCTACAGGGTTTTAACCGCACCACGCCCGTGAAGCTCCGCGATTCGTTTTTCCACTCCACCACGGCCAGCAGAGCCAGCAGGGGCCTACCTTCACTTCGATGAAGTCGGGATTCCCCAGGGACACGAGCTGCGCGTAGGCCTGGAGCTCGTCCACGTTCCACGCTTTCACAAGCGTCAGTCTGTAGACAGTTCGTTGTTGCTAAAACAAAGGAAAGGCCAACTTCGTTGTTATCCTCATGGACGTCATCTATAACCTAGAGGGTTTCTCAAGCTTTTTCAACCCAGAGAACCCACGGCAGGCAAAACTCATTACGAACTTTTGTAAACTGAAGCTATATTTTGAGGAAAGATGAAACAAAAATAAATGCTACAGTATGATTCTAACGTGCCTTATGGAAGGCACATGAGATACTGATATATTTCTTTTCTCTCACCCACAACATCCGGCACCATGCCAGGCACCCAAAGGTTTCTCGACACAGACACACTGAATTTCGTTTAGTAAGGAATGATAAACGACCAAACAGTGTTAGGCTATAAAAAATTAATTCAAATACCCTTTAGGCTTCCAGGTAATCATCACCCAAGTTGTCAGTGACAAGAAGTGTTGGTAAGTCCTGTCCTCGTTCCCACTCTATCATTATTTAATGACCACTTGGCATTTCTTGCCGGCAGAAATGGCACATGGATGGACTGTCAATGATGCCATTTGTGTGCCATATAAACACAAGAGGAACTGGTTTTCTTTCTTTCTTTTTTCTTTTTTTAGAGACAGGGTCTGGCTCTGTTATCCAGGCTGGAGTTCTGTGATGCAATCACAGCTCATCACGGCCTCAATCTCCTGGGCACAAGTGATCCTCTTGCCTCGGCCACCCAAGTAGCTGGGACTACAGGAACATGCCATCACGCCCAACTAAGTTTAAAAAAAATTTTTTTGGAGATGAGGTCCTGCTATGTTATCCAGGCTGGACTTGAACCCTTGGCCTTAAGTGACCCTTCTGCCTCAGGCTTCCAAAGGGCTGGGATTACAGGCGCATACCACTGTGCCAAGCTAGATTTCTGAAAACATAATTAGACAATGGGCATTAAAGCTTATAAAAAGCTTAAACACTCTGACTTTGTAGCTCCGTTCTAGAACCCAAAACAAATGATTAAAAATTCAAACACAATAAAAAATCTCAGGACAACATTATTAATAATGGCTTACAGCTGAATGTGGTGGCTCACGCCTGTAATGACAGCACTTTGGGAGGCCAAGGCAGGCGGATCAACTGAGGTCAGGAGTTTGAGACCAGCCTGCCAAACATGGTGAAACCCTGTCTCTACTAAAAATACAAAATACCTAGGTGTGGTGGCACGCACATGTAATCCCAGCTACTTGGGAGGCTGAGCCAGGAGAATCATTTGAACCTGCGAGGTGGAGGTTGCAGTGAGCCAAGATCATGCCACTGTACTCCAGCCTGGGCGACAGAGCAAGACTCTGTCTCAATAATAATAATAATAATATTATTAGCTTAAAATCTAAAGTGACACTCACCCCTTGAGTAGGTACAGGACCTGTAACTTGCCTGTAACCAACAGACTATAGCAAAGGTGATGGGATGCATGTGGTTCTATGTACATGATCACATGCATCTGTAGCAAATGCCCAGGTAACACCCAGGCTGCTAGCCTTTAATCCATACCTTAAGTAGCAAGGACGAAAATACCCAAGAAAAAAACAAAGTGAAAGGTATGCACAAAGTGACACCAATCTCATTACTTTAGTCTATGTCTGAAAACTTCCAACATTAACAAAAAAGAAGAAACACACGAAATCTTCATTGAAGAAAACTAAGAGGTCATTAATAAGGAATACTGGGCAGCCACACCAGAAATTAATGTTTTCTGAGCATATTTACTCATATATACGCAAAAGTTCCTTCTAAAATGCAGTATACAATGCAAGGAAAGACATAAATCTTCCCGATTCCCTTTACATACTTAGAATTCTTCCAACGCCAAAAGCTAACAAAAATAGTAGAAAACTGCAGACCAATCTCACTCATATTTACATATGTAAAAATCTTACAGAAATTTTAGCAAGTAAAATTCAGCATTCTGTTAAAACTCTGGGAATGCAAAGGCAGTTCCGTCTTAGGCTACACAGTAAGACATTTCATCATACTAGCAGTTCAACACAGAAAAGCCACACGGCCATTTTCATGGACACCCAAAGTTATCTGATATAGTTTAAAAGCCATCCCTGCTTTTAAAACAAACCAGAATGAGCAAATCAAATGCCATTTGGTAAATTCAGTAATTAAAAAAACACAACCTTAACATTAAAAAAAATCTACAACACTCTCCAGTCAATAGTCAATGCTATTTTTACTGATTAAAAAAACAGGGGGGCCAGGCGCGGTGGCTCACACCTGTAATCCCAGCACTTTGTGAGGCCGAGGTGGGTGGATCACCTGAGGTCAGGAGTTTGAGACCAGCCTGGCCAATGTCTTGAAACCCTGTCTCTATTAAAAAACACAAAAATTAGCAGGGAGTGACGGCAGGCACCTGTAATCCCAGCTATTTGGGAGGCTGAGGCAAAAGAATTGCTTGAATCCAGGAGGCGAAGGTTGCTATGAGCCAAGATTGTGCCAGTGCGCTCTAGCCTGGGCAACAGAGTGAGACTGTATAATTAATTAATTAATGCATTACTATTTAGTTGGACTAACAGAATAATTTCTACCCTTTCTTAAAAAAGTTTTCCTACAAGTTATAATCAAAGCAACAAGGCCAGGCTAAGAATTGCTGGAGAATATACAAAAAATAATTAATAGTAAATAATAAAATTGGCTTCTTGGAAACCGAAGAGAATCAACTAAAAATGAGATTGGGGAAAGTGGCCAGTTACCAAAGAAAAATATAAAAATCAACAGCTTTCCAAGCATGCAGTAGCGAGTTAAACGTGAACACTGGGGCCGGAATGGATCGCAGCTCATGTTCTCGATATCGTCACCCCTCTGTTCTTCGTTTCTAACTGAATGTCGCATTTAGCACGGGAAACGTAGAACCACGCTTGACAGCAGTGTATCATATCATCAAGTATTAGCTATGACATGCCAGCAATCAGCAATTACAAAATTCAAGAGAAAGTATATTCTACTCACAACTACAAAATGCATCTATAAAATGCCCGGGTGTAGTGGCTCATGCCCGTAATCCCAGCACATTGGTAAGCCAAGGTGGGAGGATTGCTTGCGGCCAGGAGATCAGCCTGGGCAACATAGAGAGACCCCATCACTACAAAAAATACAGTAGGTAGGCATGGCTGAAGCAGGAGGATTGCTTGAGCTTGGGAGGTGGAGGCTGCAGTGAACCATGATCGAACCACTGCACTCCAGCCTGGATGACAGAGCAAGACCGTGTCTCAAAAAATATATATATAAATAAAACATAAAACCATAAATGCCTAATGATTAAATTATGAAATAGCATGCAGGACAGTGAATAAAATAAACTTTTCTAAGAGACCTAAACAAAAACTCATCTACATGGAGAGCCAGGATGGATTTATAAATATAATGTAATTCCAATGGGAGTTTACAATTCAGCTGAACAAATAAACTGGCCATGGTAACTGTAAAAATAATAGCAGGAGCTTGCAATTACTCAGCCCTCACTGTGTGCCAGCTGCTGTTGTAAAGTGCTTTGTAGCTTGGCAAAGATTCCAATATTTGTCCAAGCTTTACAACAAATCTCAAAAAATAGATTGGATTACTACCTTCACTTTACAGATATGAAGGTGAGGCTGACAGCTATTAAGGAAATTGCCTCAAGTTACACAGCTGGAAAACAGCAAAGCTAGGGTGTGAACCCAGGCAGTAGTGAGGTAGGAGACTGGCAGGACTTTTTTTCTGGTCACAACCCTGCTGACCAAAACGGGTCCAGACAGGATGAAGCGAAGAAACCAGCAGGAAGCAGCCAAAGGCCACTAAGGTGATCCCAAGATGTCCTTCTTGCTCATTAGCATAAGACACTCCCACCAGGACCATGACAGTTACAAATGCCATGGCAACAACCCAGAACTTACTGCCCCTTTCCTAGAAAGTTCTAAATAATGCCCCCTCTATCTGCATTGGCCCTCTCCTTAATTTGCATGTAATTAAAAATGCATTTACATGCATATAAATACAGCTGCCAAGAGCCCATACAATGTCCAGCTGGGTGCACTGCCTGTGAGTCAGCCCTGCTCTGCAAGGAACCCTACCCTTCATAAAAGAGTCCTGTCTAACACCACCAGCTTGCCCTTAAATTCCTCCCTGGATGAAGCCAAAAACCCTCTCATGCTAAGCCCAGTTTTGGGGGCTCACCTGTCACGCAACAGTCGAAACCAGAACAGGCTTTCTCTCACCTTGCTAAATCTTTGAAACCGTGAGATGAAACAAAGAGACATGCACACAAAGCATGAATGTATAACTCAAGGGATGATCACCCAGACACTCTGCTCCTCCCAGTCACTATCCACTCCCTTCACCTCCCTAGTATCATATATCCTGACTTTAACATGATAGTCTAGTTCTGCTTGTGTTTGGAATTTATGTCAGTGGAATGATACATTATTTTGTGTCTGGTGTCTGTCACTCAACACTGTTTATGAAATTCACCCACTGGGTGCAGTGGCTCACACCTGTAATCCCAGTGCTTTGGGAGGCCGAGGTGGGTGGATCCTGAGGTCAGGAGTTCAAGACCAGACTGCCTAAGATGGTGTAACCCCGTCTCTACAAAAAATACAAAAATTAGCTGGGTGTGGTGCCAGGAGCCTATAATCCCAGCTAGTTGGGAGGCTGAGACAGAGAACTGCTTGAAACCGGGAGGTGGAGGTTGCAGTGAGCCAGATTGTGCCACTGCACCCCAGCCTGGGCAACAGAGTGAGACTCCAACTCAAAAGGATAAAAATAAAAATTAAAAATAAAATTCTCCAAAGTTGCTGCATGTTTAGGTTTGTTCATTTTTATTACCTAGTATTGAGTTGCCTGAATATACAAGTTATTCAACCACACCCTAGGCATTTGGATTATTTCCAGGTTTTAGCTATTATAAAACAATGCAGTTACCTCTTTGAACGCCAGAGTTCAGTTGTACCTGTTTAAGGGAATATATAAAATGCTACTGTGACATATTTCTTTTGTGTCTGGCTTCTTTCACTGAATTTGATGTCTC